TGGGCTATTTTGGAGAGGGCAAAGCGGAAACGGAATCAGATTTGAAGAGCACTATCTTCTCGGATGTGAGGCATTGTGGTCCTCTATAAATTCATCGACGTTTCGGGAATCTCAAACCCCAATCTTCAGGGCGTCCAGACCGACACTGAGGGCCGCCCATCTTCCTACACAATGGGTATCCGGAGCTCTTTCTACGAAGGATAAAGCGGCAGGGGCGTGAAGCTGACCACTCACCTTCATCTAGTCCCGAGGTTAAGAAAATTTGAGCTATACTGCCCCTCCCCCATATATCTTTCATGGATTAGTGCTGAAGTACTTAAGCACAGGGACAAATTTATAATTTTCTCTTAACTTACTAACCTTCAGGGTCGACGAGCAATATAAGTGAAGAATCAAAAAGCAGCAAGCAATAATTGCTGTGACAAAATGAAATCCAACAGAATTAGAGACCATTTTGATATGTAGCTAATTTCAAAAATGAAGTAACATCCTAGCAGCTGTGTAGAAAATGTAGGCCTGCTGATTATTTAAAAAGATTGGGATTCTTAAAAGGCATTCCCCTTGACTACCTATCGATAAGGCTCTTTCTCGAACAAATAGAAATTTGTAAGGTTAACACCACATATACACGGTGCCAAATCCCAGAAGACTGCATTCTTCAAATAGAAATTTGCCGTAGAAGCGAAGCTTTAGTAACAAAAGTATTCTGAGTTCAACTCTGGCGTTATAGGCGAGAAAGCAGTGGCGGTTATGTATCTTATGAAACCTAGGCTTATGGCAGAGGGCTGTTAAACTGCCGAAAAATAAGGGACTGGATTAAACAGAATTATTTAGTAAGTGTATCTCAGGAGAAACAGGTCAGAGTTCCTGTATGTACCAGGGTTTTGTGTGGCTTTCCTTGGGGAACATTCACTGGGAGGAGGAAGGCCCTCTTCTTCAGTTCCGTCGTACCTTTGGTGCCGTCCAACGTGGGCCTCCTACCATGATAATACCGCGAGTGTGGGGACAGAAGCAGACGGATTCTGTACCTCGACGCGAGAGAGCGGTGCTCGGTATGGGTCATGCTTCGAGTGCTTTTCCCCGGGGAAGGAGCCCCAGGAATACATTACCTACAAGACTGAGCGCTTCTCGAATCCCGTCATTATGTAGCGGCAAAAAGAAAATCTGTTCGTATGTTCCTGAAGGTAATGGAAACCTGGTGGCCACTCACTTTTTGACTGAGCTATCCTGGTCCAAAGATTACATCACAGAATTTATTTATTTATCTATTGCTTTATATATTAGTAACATCTCTACATTTATTAGATGATTTCTGTGTATGTTTACGATTCCTTACAATTAGTACGTTTTGTTTCATTTAAGGATAATTTTTCTTTTGATAATCCTTTTTTACGTTATATAATTTGTACTTTCTTAGTTAGGACGTTTACATTTTTAGTTCGTTTGTGATTTACTCAAGTAAAACTGGCAGTTGTGCCTTGAAGTATGGTCGCGAAGTGTCATGCTAAATGCATGGAAAAGACAATCCTGCGAGCAGTTTATTCATGCTCGTCCTCACTTGGCAGCTATCAAGGAAGTTGGTTTCTTGGATGTTAATACTATACTGTAATCTCACAGCCTACGCTTTTTCCTTGCGGCTTTTCGTCACTGTATGACCAAGAAATAGAATTCTGGGCAGCAGGCCAGTCAGCTCTGTGGCTGTGAAGAACTCTCGATTTAAATCGGGGATTGGCTGTCTTGACAGAAGTATTCGTGTTCCTTCAGAACAGGGGTATACAGTGACTTTTGTTCAGGGGCCGGATGGGACTAGTGTAGTATGAAAGAGGGAAGCAAAGATTTATGAGGAAAAAAATTGTCTCGACAAATTTTTAATTATGGTGTTTAACGGGGCCGTTTCAGTTTCAAGGGAGTCACGTGGCTTCGAATAACATGGGGTATGGCACTGAATGATGGGTTTTACAGAAGGTGAGCTTGGCCTATTTCAAAGTAATGTCCTGGCATTAGCATGTATGAAGCAGAAAAATCACAAAAAAACTCAGTCGGGTCACGTGAAAGCCTTTCCCTTTCCGAACCGGGTACTTCAGAACACAAGTTGAGAGCATTATCACTACAGCACACTTGTCGGTCAAACACTGTTCAGCTACGGGAAGATGCAAGAACTTTCGTTTCCCTTGTGTCTTCTCCTACTAAGCGGGTACGTTGGGGTTCATTCCCCGGAGACTCGGAACTGGCCCTTCATCTCCATGCAGCACCGAGCGCAAAATATTGTCGCTATAGCTGCACTCTGCCATACCTCTTCGTAGCATGGTGTTTAATTACGACACGTTTAGTTAGGGTTATGAGGAGCATCTTGCCTTTGTTCTCCGACTCGCAAGTCATCGGCCTTTGCCTACTTACACCTTTCCAGATTAAATTTACGCCTCAGAACTAAATGCTTCTTGTGAAGCTGTTCCTTAATGTAACACTCATTCGGCAATAGAGGCCACTCCTTGTCATGAAGTAGACCCGAAAGAAGCCCCGCAAAATGAAAAATCCTGTGTCATTTCAAATCGAATTACACGTATTTCAGGACGTTGTACTGTAATCCATATTCACACTTCCCCCCCCCCATCATATTATGCCTCGGTTCCTAAATTATTCCTCCTCATCAATTTCCATTTTAAGTTCTTGTTTTCGGTATCTGATTACAATCGAGTGTGCTGCGATTCCGTTAACAGTCATTTTCAGCCTTTTGTATCCTGAGCCCCACAGCTCATTCTGAAAAAAAAAACCCTAAACCCACAGCAGTAAAAGCGCTCTTTTAAAACTATAGTATTGTAACGGGTTTGATCAACGCGTTTCCAGGGAACAGCTCTGCAAACACGGTCCAACACGCAAAAATAGATGAGTCTGTGTTTTCTATGTTGTCTGCGCCATGTCCAGTGTTGGTAACGAACCAATGAACTCGCAGTCTGATATGTGACACGTATTTTCTGTATGGTCTGCGCCACGCATCAATAGAGCGGCTGTGTTTTCTGTGCGTGATCCGTGCCGAGAGGACATAAGAGAATACGGAAATGAGACTTCACTTTGTTTTCGAATATCCGAGGGAACAGGTGTGTGGCCAGAAGAATCAGAAGACTTAGCGTGTACCGTTACATACGCTGCAGTACACTGATATTGGGAATGTGTAATTTAGTGAGACTTATAGTTCCCATGTTATAAATCCGTTGCCAGGAAACGTATAATGAAGGCTAGTGGAAATAAACTGAGAAGATTAGTGTTGAGTGATTGTAAATTGTGTAAATGAGCAATAGTGCAATAGTTATCTGTAGTTACGGCCTGTAGCGTGTTAATAAATGTAATTACAAATCCGAACGTTATCTCTAGTCACTAATACACTTGACATTATTATATACATCGTTGATGAAAATTACTACACCGCTTCAGTCACACTACAGTCACTTAGTCACTTCAGCAGTGACTTGTGTCCCTCCGGTTGACAAAATCTGCCCTAGCGTAGCTGAGGAATGGAAGTAATGAAGTTTGAAATTATCATTGCACAACCCTACCTGTCCATAATCAGCTTCTTACTCTTGTGTTCAGGTCTTCTTTTCAGATCCTGACTTTCAAAAACTTTCACTCTTAATTGCCAACTCAAAGAGAAAAAGTGTTATGTCCACAGTCCAGGTTAGTCTTACTTACCTCTAATATGAAACATATATAAAAGAACGTACCCTACAGCTGTTCTGAATTAACACTGCCCCCCCCCAAACACAAACACACATACATACATACATACATACATACACGCGACTAACATTTCTATGTTTTTGTTTACTTGCTACTACAGACATCAGACAAAATTAAGTAAATGTTCCAAATATTCAGAGCTTGCATAATGGATCCATATGTAGGATATGAATCTTCCCAGAAGACAGAACTCTTCATGGGTCCCTATTTGTACGCTCCGTTTCTAGGGTCATGCTAGCCCTGGCAGCTGTGCAGAAAGGATGTTTGCGTCTGGGACGGACGTAGAAAGTCATCCTGCACAACTACCAGGCCCTACAAGGTGACTAGGAAGGAAACGTATAAATAGGGACCCTAATCATCACTAACGGACACTGTCCACGGCACCAGTTGGGGGCCTAGGCAACCATATATGTACATATAGCAGTGATACTCCAAGACTTCTGTGCATTCCATTTTTCGTTGAGGAGGACTATGTCGTATATAGACCAGAAATACGCAAAGGTTCCTCGAAAATGTGTTTACGAGAAGATGAAGTTTAAACTGCCCCAGAAAGAAGAAGGACCACATTGAATACGTGATATTGTGTTACGGCATATTTAACAGATCTGGAAACTGATCTGCAAGTTCCTCCAAAGCAGTATTAGCTAAGCACATATTCATGCGTGTATGCACATATTTACTGCTGATTGTATCCTTATTTCGTATTTTGTAGATCAAAGCGTGATTGGATCCAGGACCATGAATACTGTTAGTACTGTTAGTGAGGATAATGAGTATAATAGCCTATAAAACCAATAAAACGTAAACTTACATAATTCAAGTTTCTTAAATAAATTCGACCCCTTCCAGAGTAGTGTTTATCGTTCTTAAGGTTCTGCCTCACAGAGGGTTACGTACGCGACGCACGCTACGTACGCTATGTTCCCTGTGACAGCTGCGTCGCAGAGTGTACACAGCGTACGTAGCGAACATAGCGTAGCGCTGTGTGGCCGAACTTTTACTTTTTATCATAAGTTACCCAGTTTGTCGCCCGGCGTGGTACAGTCGCTGTGCCTTACTTTGAGAGTAAAATGAGACAATTATCCCGCGAAGACAATGAAAACATTAATGTAATTTCTACATGCATCGGGCCTTGCAAGTGGACCCTTCGCTTTAGGTTTTCAGTTCAAAATCCTTTGACGATCTATCAGCTTCACATACGCGCCACGATAACCAAATTCAGATACCAGTCCTAAAGGATTTCTAATACAAAGATAATGAAGACAAACCTTCATTAAACGTTTTCTTCTCCGTTGTAACAAGGGGTTGGCTGCTATCGTGTGGTTGATAATAGGAACGGTGTCTGTAGTTGTAGCTGCTGCCACGAGATGATGTAGGTTTCGTTCTGGGCATGCGCTGTGCAGATGCGCGCGCATAGGACGTGTCAGTAGTACTAGAACTGTTGAGGGGCGAGGCGGAGTCTCTGTCTCCATCCGCCTCGTCCTCGTTGTTGGAACACACACCATTGCAGCCATCTTCACCTGCAACACACATCGAAGGATCATGACTGGAACTAGGTTTCGTTTAATTTTGATTCAATCCATCATAAAATCGGAATTATACATAAAAAATTAACTGACGAGGTCACAAGAAGTCACTCAGAGTAGAGAAGTATTTTGATATTAAAGGTCGCGGTGCAAGGGCCGAGAAGGCCTACCCCTCATACCCTGTAAAAGAAGTTCGGGTTTTTGAATAATTATACTTGAATGTTACGAAAACCAGCGCAGACCACCGCATTCCGAACCCGGCAGCTATCCGAGTTCCTAACACAGTTCTGAATTTACATTAATCCTTCGGAACACCAGGCGAATTCCGTCTAGGTTACCTTGAACTGTGGCGACGAAATGGGATGCGATGCGGGGACATCAATTTTTCCCCCTCCATAACCCAAGGCGTAATAATTACACTTTCAAGTTGCACATAGCGATCACAGTGGCCGCGCGGTCTGGGGCATAAGCCATCTTCGCTCGCTCGAAAGCTGGGATCGTGGGTTCGAATCCCACTCAAGGCACGGATGTCTGTGTATGTTTATTCTGCTTGTGTTGTCCTCCGTGTAGGTAGCGGCCTTGCAACGGGCTGATCCCCCGTCCAAGGAGCCCTACCAACGGTGTATAGGATTAAGAAACTGAAAATAGGGGCCAAGAGCCATAGAGAAAAAGTGTATTTGTATTTGGCTTTCTTATCACACTATATACTCGTATATCAATTGAAAACACTGGGCAATGTAAGGGTTGAGCAGTGCAGCCAACAGAGAATATCCAAACTGATGTTGGTTGAGAGGCCGAAGCATACAGTAGGTAGTAGTTGTGCTGACGGAAATACACAAGTTTACGAATACACGTTTACCAGGAAGAACATTCTGAAAATCAGGTTGAACACTGTACGTGTATAGCAGCCTGTCCTTTCTTTTTTTCAAGTAATTTGTACCTATTTCCTTAGAAATTCTTATTTACTTATTAAGTCCGTTATGTTTCTATACTGGTTCCGTAATATCCATAGAAACAAATAGACCTATTCCAGTACTCAGTTTGAACCAAGTTTTAACGTTAATATTATCTAGAAGTTACTAAATCAAAGGCGAAAAATCGGTCTATTTACCCATTTTCATGCATGTTTTATTACAGAACCTTTTACCTGTTAGTAAATTTCAATGACAACGTAAAATTTCTATAGTCGAAAATCAAACACTTCAGCGCTGGGAGGTGTCGGGGGGGGGGGGTTCCTTCTCGAAATAAACGTGTCTAATATCGGCCAGAATAATTACTGTTTCCAAATGAATTACGTGATCCTTGACATGGAAAATGTTCAAGCAAAGGATATTAACGGTTCAAATGTGTGCAGTAAGTCGAATGTGGTAGCGAATATTTTTTTAAAAATATGATTAGAACAATACGGCGGTAAAAAGAACTTGATAGAAGAAAGTTTCTTCGACGGGCTGATCCCCCGTCGAAGGAGTACTACCGATTGTGTATGGATTAAGAAACTGAAAAATCGGCCAAGCCCCCAAGGGCTGTAGAGGCGTAGACAAGCAGATGAAAGCTTTAGTTAGAGATGGACCTATATGGATATTATTTCAAAATGTCACTCACGGTATTGCTTGATGAGCAGCGCATGGTGAGCAGAGCCAATCACGTACAGAAAACGACGTTTTCTTCTCCACTGCATTGTCTTTGTACTGTTGCAAGAGTGCGAAAATTAACGTGTACTAAATTTAGCCTGAAAATCTTGCTGGAAAGTTCAGTCCAGTTTCACCTCTTTCAGGTGTTTATGGCGAAGAGTACAAGCAGTACAGAACAGAGACCATTTTAAGTTCCTCACAGCGTGAAATATTAATTAATGTACTTTCAGGCACATTTCCATGATATGTTATTCAGATGTCGCAGAACACAAGAGTAACTTATGATAATAGTTGAACACCATTTGGTACGTTCCTTGTTGTGGTTCATTGTGTCTGGAAAAAACACAAAACACAAACAAAATATAATGTGCCCGGATGAAAGGTATCCAAAGTAAAAAAAAAAAATATATCTCGGAAACTAATTGTCATACACGTATCCGGTTTATGTCATCGGAAAGGAAAACTCTGAAAGTTTCTTTTTCATACCCGGCTTATGCGCATGCGCCGCCACATTTCTGCCACCATGTTAGGAATCACCTGGACAGAGTGATGGCTGGGATATGAATTGGCACAGGTGGGCCAATCGCTTAGCCTCCTGGGTCGTCACATTTAACCCCAGTGGATTTTTTCTTGTGAGGTTATGTGAAGAACATTGTCTTCCGGGTTAAGATCAACGAGCTTCAAGACCTGAAAGCCCGCACAAGGGACGCTGTGGCTACGGTAACACCAAACATGCTTCAAGCCTGGATATTTGTCGTGTCACCAAGGGAGCCCACATTTAAATTTATTGAGAAGGTTATATACGCAGAAAAAGAACTTGTATAATTTCCCTTTGTAATGGTGTAACCCACTAATGTGTATAATAAATTCTTTCTGAGAGATAATGATTTTATTTTTGATACCTTTCATCCGGGCATCCTATACAACGAACCTAAAAACAGTCATCGACTAACAACTGAGATTCAGCACACTGGATTTGTATTCAGTGACGCATGGCAACATTCGATCTACAACTACGGCATGTTTCTAACATTTTTGTGTTACAGATAAAGCAGAACATGCTTATAAAGAAATCTCAAGTGGCCCAAAAATCTTTTCCGTCCGAGACAGGTTTCCGGTCAACAGAGGCACTTCTACAATGACTGATTTTTTGGACATTATCCATGTCCAGGTTTATTACTTTGGATAAGTTCCAGAATATTAGTCATTGTATTCATATACTACAGTCACGAACTTAGAGTTTTTGTCCCCCCTTTGGCACTACAGTCCCAGTGGGCCTAGGCCTACCTCCATGAAATTCTCCGTTCACTTCGGTTTTTCTAGATCTTACACATTCGGTAGGACTCCTTGGGCGGGTGATCAGCTCGTCGCAAGGCCTCTATCTGTACACAAACACAGAAAAACGCACACAAACTAAACATCCATGCCCTGAGTGGGATTCGAACCCACGATCCCGGTTTCCAAGCGAGCGAAGACAGTACATGCCTTAGACCGCTGGGCTACCGTGACCGGCTCATAGAGCTTATAGTCACACATATCTAGATAATAAATATAGCAGCCGGCATAAGCCCATGTGATTATGATCCAGAATACTAGCCAAAAATTAATGTTTCGTTCTTCATAAAAGCATACCGCTCTGCCATTGAGCGCTGCATACCTTCCGTCTTTCTTCTCTCTTTCCTTCCTTTTTTCCTTAACTTCCTTCCATTTCGTCCACCCTGCCCCCCCCCTCTCTCTCACTCTTTTTTCCCCAGCAATATCCTACATTGAAGTATGAAGATACGATGTATATTTTTATTTTCGCTTGGGACACAGCATCACACAAATTCTTATGTAAATCAAAAACATATTTTAAGAGACTATTTTACTTTAAATTCTTGTTACAGCTTTCAGTTTTCATGACAGACACTTTCCGCTTATTATAATAATTTTCATTATTTTTCAATCTAAATTCTCGGGTTCAAAAAATAAGTTGACAACGCAGGTTTCCGTTTAATCCAGATCTGTTCTAGACATGTTTTGTTTGGCATTAAAATGGATATAAGCAGGAAGCCAACGTTGTCGAATAGCCACACTCTATTATGAACAAGCCCGTATCCTGTACTTTCTTAAAATTGAGATTTCAATTAAAAGTTGTGTTGTATATTAACACACGAACTTGAGTTTTTTATGTTATCAGCTATGCACTTCTTTCAGACACGTAGTAAAGATAAGCAGCTGCACGCACACAGGGAGACTACACAGAATAACACCGGTACAGTACTAGAAACAAGAAGTAGACGCTGCAGCACTACAGACATAGGGCGAGTAACCCTAACATTTTTAAACTTTAAAATTAGAGAAAATTTGAAAGATTTTAAAATTAGAACTGAAGATTTTATAAGTGCTAATTCAGAGAAATAAAAACTGACGTGTGTAAATAAGAAATATATCAACGAAGTATATTTGGTAATAACGACGAAAGGAACAATCAGGAAGACCTGTGCTTATAAATTTTAAATGTTGAACTAAGTGCAGTGTGACAGATACGTGAGTAATACACCTGATGATGGCCGTTTGTGGCCGAAACATGTAGTGTGTAAAGGAGAGCAAAACGAAAGACCTATAATATGATTTGCACTGAAGACGGAGTTTGTATCATGTATCTTTCAGGAATGCATTGTTTAACAGTGATTAGTATATTTATTATGAAATGTATTAGAACTGCAGAGACAAATACGATATACCTCAGCCTCTAACATCCTGACTGTCCAATCGATATGGAAGTTAAGGGTGAAATATACAGGGTGGTTCTAAATTATTCTCGGGGTTTCCGTGGCCTATAAACGGAAACACAGGCAATAATTTAGAGTCATCTTGAATACTGCTGAATTGAAAGCTGACACACCACAGTACACGCATCCATGGAGGCACAGACAGACAGACAGACAGTACAATGACTGTAATGCGGTGACAACTGGAGAACATTTTAACACATTATCAATTTCGTACATCACATCCTCTTGTTAGGAATAACTGATCATTTCTTTAACGTCTATTGAATTTATGATTGTGTATGACTTAAGAAAATGTCACACAGAAGTTGAAAAAATCGCCATTTTCTTAAACAATTAATATTATTATCTACAAATTATGTCTCATTTTCTCGCGTAAAGTTTCTCACTGTACTCGTATATACAAAACTTCTGAATAAAGTACAGGCCTAAGTGAATATTGTTTAGAAATTATACCAAAAAACGCTCCATAGAACAATGACCGATTCAGTGGAGTACATGCAAGAATTTGTATAAGACTTCATATTCCCGTGTTTTGTTCTAGAGAGAAAACAGAACTAACATGCATTCACTGCCTCCCAAGAATATTATAATTTTACACAAAGTGCAAATTATTACTCGTGAATACTAAAGAAATCAGAATAAAAAGGAAGGAAAGATAAGGACAGTAAATCGTGACCAATTTTGCATCTGAGTTTCTGTTCTACGGCAATTTGTACGAGTCGCCATCTGCATTCATATCGGTGTGTCATTTAAGCACTTCTGCGAATAATTTTACTTCCTCTGTATAAAGCGGTCGCATGAAACTGACGCCATGAAGCATGTTCATACATATATGTCTGTAAAACTCTTCAGTACAAATTGGTACGTGCCGCTTTAGGAATAACATGAAACATCTTTCCTACACACACAGTAACATAACAGAATGCGGTAGGCAGACACTCACGCATACAATGAGACAAATAACCCTCTCTCTCCCTCTCTCTCTCTCTCTCTGTCCCCGACACACAAATTCGCAACTATGTAATTCATTGACGCATGGCGCCATTTCATTACAGTACTTTTACATATTCCATTATTGTCCTTATGCTTTTAACATATTTCGTTCAGAAAACAACCATCCAGTAAAATAATTAACTGAAAGAACGATTAATTCATCCTACATATTTCGGCTACTTGGCCATTTCTAGGGTGTCCAACCAAATTATTAAAGAAAATAAAAACATTTACATACAGAGACACTCTTTGGTTAAAGTCACCATTATCTGTCCGTATTTAAAACATAAAATCATATACAAACTTATTGAGTTTAGGTATGACAGCAGCCAGTCCTTTACTCCCTGACCCTTCGAATTGTTGGAATTCTGAGCATTATGAACAGCTTTCTCTGTTATTGCCCAATTCGTCGGTTGTGTACGAACTGGGCAAGGCAGAAAGCCACGAGAGAATGGACGAATCACAAAAACTGGGAGCACACATTTCTTCAATATCCTCATAGTAGCATCAAGAAGTGAATGTAAACTTTGAAGATGCTTTGATGTCCTTGCCCAAATCATAAATTTTGCACGTTGTTTTAATTATTTAGGTATTGATATATAACCCCGTTTTCTAAAAATAGTTGGTGATATAATTGTAAAAAAAAAATCCTTTCAAATAATTTGATTGGCGACACCGGAAATGGCCTGGTGTCCGAAACATTTGCGGTTACTTTTGAAATGCCTGTAAGCTTCACTAGACGGTTGCTTTCTGAGTAGAGTACATCTCATACACTACATTCACAAACATTTGTAGTTACATTAAAAGCTCGAATAAAGGGTCATTTTAGATAATTGCAATCATTGTATTAATGTAATTTTCACGTTGTGATGTAACTGAAACTATTTGAAAAGAAAACTTATTTGTCAAAAATATTTACAGGAAATTAGTGACAAAAGGGCGCACTTATTTGTCAATTGAAAGTTCCAATTGCACCATTCAAGAATGCATATTAACGACACCGGTTCATTCGAATAACCGGATAACCCAAGTTATCTTGTGCAGATATTACAACACTAAAAATCGACAAACATTTTAAATGTTTCAAGATAATAAACGCCTGAAAAGTGGCTATTAAAAGTGAAAGTTATGAAAACAGAGTATAATTTATTTGAAATCTACAGAACATATGGTGCACGGAACAGAAACGGAACTCCAAAACTGTCTCTTGGGATACGCAATAAAATATTCAGTATCATACAACAGCTGAAGACTGAGTTACAGAATGACTTTATCTTGTTACACACACTTCTTATATTCACAATTATATGTTGCGCACGCCGCCATATTGAAAACACTGAATTGAAAACATGGAGGAGAATGTCACTTTCATCCAAAATAGTAACGGCGTGTTCAATGATAATGATAATAATAATATACTATAATATTTGTTCTTTCCTTGTTTTTGTATACACCCCACACGATGAAATGTCACTAATTCACATTTTAGTAAATTTAATTATGCCTAAAGAAATCAGTACTGTGCATTGCTGAAATTGGAATTAAACCGCCTGTATACGTTGCAGAGTGTGTTCACTAGTTCCCTCCTCAACACACATTGAGCAGGCCAGCTGCTGCAAAGCGCTCGGCAACGCTAGTACACCGGTAGTAGTGGGAATGCTTTCCATGCGCAATAGCAGCGCTGCCTCCACTCCTCCGAGTGACGGCCGCCTGTCTGCTTGCTTAAACATGACTTGACATGAGGCTTTCACGGCGGTGACTATGAAGAAAGCAGTCTTCTGGGATTTGGCACTGTGTATATGTGGTGTTAACCGACGTTTCACAGGAACGTATCGCCTCCATCTTCAGGGTAGAAGAAAAAATATAAGAAATCTGCAAGCGAAGAGACCGTGAGAACCGGTAAAAGCAGATTTCTTATATTTTTTCTTCTACCCTGAAGATGGAGGCGATACGTTCCTCCGAAACGTCGGTTAACACCACATATACACGGTGCCAAATCCCAGAAGACTGCTTTCTTCAAAATAGGAAATGACATAGTTACAGAAGAGGGGATGTTTCCATTAGAATAAATTAGACAGAAATGGACGGATCCTCTCCAAATATGCATTGCTAAACGTGCAATCACTTACGAAATAGAAGCCCGAAAGATATGTAGGAAGACAGAGGAGGATATGGAGACATACACGATGCCGGAACAGGCTAATGTCCAAACCTTATAGTCAGAGAGTAGAATAAGAAGAAACAGAAGCATATGTAACGGAGCCCTATTGCTTTAGTTGCCATCTGCACATCATTCGTACATCGCACAACCGTAAAAAACAAAGAACTGTTTCATTTCTTAAAGGTGAGAGCACACCAAGGAAACTGGCAACCGCAACGCAACCGTAGTTTCCGAGAACTGTTATCAGTCTGAGTTGAACACGTGTTAGCGAATGTAACAGCGCAAATTGAGGAAACTGTGTTGTCCTTTCCTCAATTTGCGATGCTCCATTCAGTAACATGTGTTCAACTCAGGCTGATAACTATTCTCGGAAATTGCGGTTGCGTTGCGGTTGCCGAAACGTATAGTAAGCCCTCGTCCTAAAATTAGTGGGGCAATATGATTTCATTATACACAACAGGATGCAAAAACTGAAGACGATGTAATGAAAGCCAGTCGATGGCGCCTACTTCTCTGTTTAAACAATGAACTTCAAACTTACCCTACTCGCATATGCTACTGCTTAATGTGAGCACACGTGTCATTCAGACACCCCGGAAAGAACGAACGCAACTGCTATTTTCTATAATACATTAATTATTTTTAGATATATTTGTTTAGTAACCACGCTACAAGCCGGCAGATCGCGGATTCGATTCCAGATGATGTCACTGGATTTTTTAATTGACCTAATCCTTCCAGGCGCACTATGGCCCTGGAGTCGACTCATCCTCTAACAGAAATTATTACCAGGAATCTTTCTGGAGGTAAAGGGTGGCCTGCACATAAGGCCGACAGCCTTACCGCTATCTGTGAGCCAATTGTCTAGAAAATGTGGGCGCCTCGACGTCTCACAGACGTATAGGGCCCTTAGCCTGTTACAGGGATAGCTTTACGTGTACTCTCTTCATTATATGCCTTTCTCCAGTGCATTAAGCCATATATTTCGTTGTTTATATGTGCCGGTCTATGATTTAGGGTTAATAATGTACTTCGGATAAATATTTTCGAAAAAGTTCGTACTGAGAGTATTTTTAAAATGCAGACCTGCTTTTTATAACTAAAGGCTTCAGGAGAACTGGCCCTTCAGCGTGCCTGGGGTATCAGAGCTACTACTGTAAAGCGGAAAAAGTTGCTTATATGTCAGAGAAGAATGTAAGTTACAAAATTTTCGAAAATTAATATTTTTGCGTCAGTTATTTGTAGACTTCAAGACAGCTTATGATTTAATTAGGACGGAAGTATTGTACAATACTCTGATAGAGTTTGGGATACCCCTGAGACTAGTTAGGCTGATTAAAATTTATTTAAACGAAACGTATAGTAAAGTCCGTGTAGGTAAACATGTGTCTGATAAATTTCCTATTAAGAAGGGTTTAAAACAAGGCGCTGCTTTATCACCATTCCTTTTCAACTTTGCTTTAAAATATGCTATCAGAAAGGTCCAGGGAAACCAGGTGGGACTGAAATTAAATGGGACACATCAGCTGTTGGTCTACGCCGATGATGTGAATCTACTGGGTGATAATGTAGATACCATAAAGAAAAACACACAAACTTTAATTAACGCAAGTAAAGAGGTTGGTCTAGAAGTAAACACAGAGAAAACTATGTATATGTTGCTCTCTCGTCACCAAAATGCAAGGCAAAATCATGATATAAAGAGAGGAAACAGATGTTTTGAAAATGTGGCACAGTTCAGATATTTGGGAACAACGATAATAGATCGAAACCTGATTCGGGAGGAATTTAAGAGGAGATTGAACTCGGGTAATGCTTGCTACCATTCAGTCCAGAACCTTTTGTCTTCTCGTCTGCTGTCCAAAAACATAAAAATTAGAATATAGAAAACTATAAGTTTGCTTGTGGTTCTGTATAGGAGTGAAATATGATCTCTGACACTAGGGGAGGAACATAGACTGAGGGTGTTTGAGAACAGGGTGTTGAGGAGAATATTTGGACCGAAGAGAGATGAAGTTGCAGGAGGTTGGAGAGAACTGCATAATGAGGAGCTTCATAACTTGTACTCTTCTCCAAGTATAATTATAATGATCAAGTCAAGGAGGATGAGGTGGGCAGGGGCATGTAGCACGAATGGGGGAGACGAGGAAAGCGTATAGGATATTGGTGGGGAAGCCAGAAGGAAAGAGACCACAGGGAAGACCAAGGCGTAGGTGGGTGGACAATATTAGAATGGATCTTAGAGAGATAGGGTGGGATTGGATTGATCTGGGTCAGGATAGGGACCAGTGAAGGGCTCTTGTGAACACGATAATGAACATTCGGGTTCCATAAAAGATGGGAAATTCTTTAGAAGCTGCAGAATTGGCTGCTCCTCAAGAAGGTTTCAGCCCCATACGTAAGTAATATTTTTACGTAGTTTTTATTTTTATGGTATGATGAAATCGCATTCGCCTTAAATTCCACTTGCCTGCTCATCACATATTCAACTTTTCATTCCTGTTCTGAGGTAATTGAAAGGATTAAGAGTTTTAAATTGATTATTTCATTTACAAGTAACATCGTTCCACTAACATTTTTCTTCTTTTCGCGTAATATACATTGCTATTCTTTCGTGTCGATTTATATGGAAATGTCTTCGGCCGCTGTTGTGAGTAACTTTGAAAGAGACAGCTTACGTAATATAGACGGTAATAAACTGTAAAATTGTGGGTTAAAATGAATATATATGGGCAGAATGAAAGAAGGAGCAATTTTAAATGGTACGACCTTGCACACTTCAGCACATCAAATTGCTAAGTGGTTATAAAGGCTTACGACAGAGGTGAAGTATCATTCTGAAAGAACTTCCTTCGAAAAATACCGATTTTTCGGATTAAAAAATGCCCCCACAAGTTAGGCAGCCTTCCATTTAACCTGAGAGAGAGGCAGCCTCCGAAACGCCTTTAGCCTATATATTTATTCAGGAAATTGGAACGTCAGAAACAGTCTCCAATAGAGGCGTAAGAAAGACCAGATATCGACAGAGTAACTTTGGCTTTCTTTATTTCTGAACGGCTTCCAGCACCCAATTCTTGTGTAAGAAGACAAGTAGGAACACTAACTTTTTGGTGGCAGATCAAACAGATTGAGCCTCGGTAACATAGTAGACCACCACTGGAAATATTCTGAGCCAATTATATCAAACCCCAAAAATTTTTGTACCAAAATTTATCTTGACAAATTGAAACATAAAATTCATCATCAACACATCGAAAATTTTAGTTTACCAGATGACAAAATACGTCTCCTTTAGAAAGACCAAAAGGTTAATTTTGTCTAGGGAAATAATAGTTTATTTTGAGAATGAAAGTGACGCATAAATACACTCTGTAGGAAAAATGTATAGTGTTTTAATATGAAAGCAGGCGGAACACACAGTAACTACCGTGTGTTAAGGGGTTAGTACTATCCTCCCTTTTCTTCTCGATCTTCCAAGCTGTAAATTCCAAGAGGTTTCCCCCTCAAAATTATCTTTATATTTCTTGTCTAATGAACTGGAAACTGCAGATTTCTGGGACAGCAGCTGCTGACAGTCGACATGGGAGGTTTCCATTTTGGGGTATTTGGCACGGGGTTAACAGCCCACCATAAAGTATTTTCAGCTACAAAATATTTACAAGGACCTCGAAGGAAGAGGAAGATGAAAATTAATGTTAATTACGTCTAATAAGTCATGTCAAACATTTTATGCAGGTGTGCACGTTCCTTGTGTTAACAGTTCCCTCTTCATTTCTCTGCCACCAATACTGCTGCATGCACGTTTGCTTTAAGGTTCGGCTACGCTGTGTTCGCTACGTACGCTGTGTACACTCTGCGACGCAGCTAACATAGGGAACATAGCTTACGTAGCGTACGATGGGATGACTTCACGAACATGTGGAGAGAAGACAATGAGATGTAGTTTAGTGACATCTTCATGAAAATTCTTGTCAAAGCAATTATTCGAAAATACAACAATTCTCCGAGCACGTCTGACAAAGCGGCGATGCTTAATCCTATTTTCAGAAGGCGCTCTGTTCGAATCTGGATGGACACTGAATATTCTGGGATTTTTCATGGTTGAGGTCAGTCCGCTCAGGCGAATGACTGGACAGTAAACCTGTGAGCCCATATTAAAATAGATTACTATCTTTTTTCCCAAAGTTCTTTCAAATTCACCGAAAGAGATAGTCCATTCTCACCATTTGGAACTGAACAGATGATGCAGCTGATACATAGTCGTTAAATAATATGCGTTACACCCATCTTTATACTCAATTCCGGCCTCTTGAGTGTAAAGCGAATATGCCACTGAATGATTCACCAGTATGAACGTTAATTTTAAGATCTGAAATTCGTCACACACAACACAAAGCACCACTAGATACAATTAACAG